TGTGAGAGGAGCATGTGGAGAAAGCCTTTTTCCTCTGATTAGCAGATGGGAATCTCAGAATGGTGCTAATGATGAAGATGTAGGATAGAACCACTAATGCCAGTGTGAAGAGCAGAGTAACAAAAGCAAAGTAAAAACCAATTGTCTCTAAAAGCCAGGTGTCTGAGCAGGAGAGCTGTAAAAGGGGGAAATAGTCACAGGAGAAGTGATCAATGACATTGCCAGCGCAGAAATCTAACTGGACAATAAGCATGAGCGGTGGGAAAATGGTAAGAAATCCCGCTAACCAGGAAGCACAGACGAGCAGAACGCAGACTTTCTTGTTCATGATGGTGGTGTAATGAAGAGGCTTGCAGATGGCCACGTAGCGATCATAAGACATGGCAGTGAGAAGAAAAAATTCAGTCACACCCATGAAGATAAAGAAAAATAATTGAGCTAAACAATTATTATAAGAAATGGTCTTGACTTTAGTAATGATTGATGCCAAAAATCTGGGGATAGAGACACTGGTGAATGAAATTTCTAAGAAGGAGAAATTCTGGAGAAAGAAATACATAGGTGTCTTTAGGTGATAGTCTACTGAGGTTAGGATGATGATGGTTAGGTTACCAGCGATACTTAATACATAGGCCAGAAATAAAAAGACAAACATGACAGCTTGATGCTCTGGGTTGTCGGTTATGCCCAAGAGTATAAACTCTGTGACCATGGAATGGTTTCGCATATTGATTTTTTACTTTCTTTAAGTAAAATCTATTGTTGAAAAACAAAACAAAGGGAAAAAATAAGCAACTTAAATAGAAGTGTAGATACTGGTATTAATAACTCTAATAAAATGAAGCAATGGACTTTTTTTTTAACCTCTAAGCAGTTTTGCAATGTCCACTTAAGCAGAAAAATTGTATATACGTCCTCTGCTTGAAAGGAAACTTGCATTGACAGAGAAGTTTAAAGTCTTAATAGATGTTTCTACGATGGTACTTGTTATGTCTATAATTTAGATGTGTTTTCCAGCTTCCAAGTTTGTGTGCTTTTAGAACTGAAATTTATATAATATTGATTTAATTCTGATGTCTTATGTCATTTACAAACTATTATCTTAGACTCTAGAGGAAACTGATAATCCTATTAGACTTCCTGAGCTTAATAAATATTATCATTTTTTATTAATTATGTGTACTTTTAGATATGACCCACAGAAATAAATGTGTTTGCAATCACAGAAACATAAGAGTAGAAGCCATCTGGCTACAAATAAGAGTAAAAAGCTTGATTTATGGAAAAGAAAGAAGAATCCAGAGATATAAATACCCAAATAAATTGAACTATACCAATGTGGATCTGTGACAAATATTTTGTTTTATCATTTTTGTGTTTCTTATTTAAATGAACAATTTTGGCTTTTTAAAAAACTATATTCACTGTCTTTTTAATCTGAAACTTGTCTGAAAACAATTAACAATTCAAAGGGAGGTTTTCATGATCAAAATCTTGTTGCCTTCTTTCTAAAAAATTAAACAATTAGTATAAATAAAAATCTCTTTAGGATTTTTATTTAAATAAATTTCAAATTGTTAAAATGTAATCCATATGACTTTTATCTGTCTTTTTCTCTCTTTATTCTTAGTAACCAGCATTTCTTCTGTGACACATAGTTTAAATATTTATTGTCTTATTTTCTTCCTATAGTAAGAATTGGAAGTGTTAGTAGGTAGTAAGCATTAAAACCTGTATTGTATCTCTTTTCTGTTAATATTTTTCCTAATAGTTCGATGTTTCCACTTCAAAAAAATGAGCACAATTTTTTTTCATAACTTATCAGCAAAAATAACAGAATAAAAGGCAGACAGCTACTCTATTTTGAACAGTGACTGAAATATTAAAATGTAAAATTAGTCATAGTAGATTTATTAAAGCAATAATCCGGGGGTCTCCACAATTTTATTCCAACAAATAAATGGACCTTTTAGTGCAACAAAGACAGAGATATACTTAGTGACAAGCAAATGTAAATAAATACTTACTTGCTGATTCATCTACTGATTCCAGTCAGAAAAATAATCCAGATTCTCTTGAATTTACTTACGTATGAGATGCCAAGAGTCCACGCTATACTTTGGGAGATGCTTGTGCCATTATTTATTATTTTGCCTTTTGCTTATTACATTAAAAAACCTCATATGGAGAAAATACAGGATGTATTGTATGCAAATTTTCTGCAGCTATAAGTAAAATAAAATTATGTTTTTCATCTTTTCATTTAAACACATACATGGTCCTGATCTGAGCTTCAAGAAGCTACAATTACAATCCTCAGACTTCAAATCAGTTCCCACAGATTCCTGCTTACTGATTAGTGCTTCATATCTGAAAGGTAAAACATTTCAAAGCTCCCTGGATAAAAGGAAGCGTGAACACCACCTAAAGGAAAAAGCAGTTTCAGCAGCTCTGGTCACTGTATAAACACGTGAGAGACCAAGGGAGAAAGCAGAGAGAAGCTCAGATACACAGTGGTGTTACCCCAGAAACCTTTCCTGAAAGCAAAGCGAAATAGCGAGAGAAAGGCAAAACTGCTCCAAGTTATACAACCAACTTAATTTCCTTTTGGCTATACTTCATTTCCTTAATTGCACTTGGTCTACACTCAGGAGAGAATTAGCCTCAGTTCCTCCAGGGATGGTTACCGTGGGCCTGAGTCGCCCCACAGTGGACTCTTCTTTGAGGGCCCTGCCATGCTTAGTCATGGACACCTTTGTGCCAGCTCAGAACAGAGCGAACAACGAAAGCATTTCATCAGCTTTAAAAAATCTGAGAACGCTTGAAACTTAAGTTTTTCATTTTTTATATTTAAGAGTAACAAATGCCTCATGTTATGAGAATTAAATATGGAGTGCCCCTTGTGTTTCCAAATTATCCTGTGGGTCCTCTTCTTTAAACTTAATTTAAATGTTGATTGTATGTTTTACCAACACTTTTTTTCTATATTTCGCTCAACATCACATGCACATAGTCAGATGTGTGTATGTATGCATATTTTAATATCAATGCAATTTTATACAAAAATTTTTGCCACTTTTTTTTCTGATCAGTTATGATATCAGATGGATCTGAAAACTTGTCAAATTACTGAGATGGGACCCATTCTTTTCTAACAATTGTGTAAGATACCAGAGGACACACACACACAATTTAATCATTTCATTGGTAAGATTTAGGGAATTAGGTTGCAACCAATTTCATGTCATTATTTGCAACACTAAATTCATTTATGTGTTTATTTGCTTATTTTCAGATACTGGTATAACATATCTAAGTACTAAATTTTGCTAGATATCTCAAAACTCCTCTCTTAAAGACTAGAATGTTTCCTTTTCATTACATCCTAACCAAAAATAGCTATTATAAGTCATTTACAAACTTCACAGAGAAATAAATATAATGGCACCATTCATTTAATAATACAGTATCATAAAGACCAGATCACAGTGCCTGGGTTTTGAGGTTAAAAAGATCCAATATCTTTGCTGCAAAATTTCTTTAACCTTCCTGAGTATCACTTTCTTTACTCAGAAAATGAAAAGACTTACAGTCTTAATCCATAGTTTATTATATAGATTAAATGAAATATTATATTAAAATGTTGGAGTTCGGATATACTATTTAGTGTATAAGTGTTGTAGAGTCTTAGAAAAGATAAACTTAGGCCATCTGTGGCAGCATGGATCGAGCTGGAAGGGACTGTGCTTAGTGAAATAAGCCAGAAAGAAAAGGAAAAGCACCAGATGGTTTCATTCATAGCAGGAGCATAAGGGGTTAGGGGGCAAAAAGTAATTGTAATATGCCATTTTTTTAAACTATGGAGAGTACTCTCTAAAGATACAACTATTGTACTGTAATTGACACATTAGAGGGTTTACACTATTTAGATAACAAGGTATAAAAGATATATGGGCACTTTGTCATTATTGAGGATTACTTCTGTCATCAACAAGCGTGTGAGCTAAAAGTATGTTTTAGTTTTTATTTACAAATAAACATCATGATACATGATTTCAAAAATGGAAACCACTGCATTTCACAAAAGCCTGGCCATTATAAGCAATTAATAATCATTGGCAAACATTTCTAATTGAATACTGCAAAGACAGTAATGATTCAATCTCTGGAGTTTCATTATTTCTGTAAAAACACTAATACTCTAAGCATGAGTAAAAAAATCTAGACTATTAAGATGTGCATTAAAAAGTGCAAATTTAGTAACACCTGGTTCATGAAAAACAAAGCAAATGAATGAAGCAAACACAACCTTTTGGATTATAGCTACAAATTAGTAGTTTCTAAAAGAATAGGGGGAAACAGTGTAGGTAAATTGGGTAAAAAAGATAAACTGTATAATGAAGTTTAAAATTATTTTTTAGTGATGGACTCAATGTAATTTATTCAGATATTGATTATGACACTTATGAAACTTAAAGAATGTTGTAATGCAATGTTACTAAGTTAACTATTACTTTAAAATGCTAAAGTAATTTTGCCCCATTGAATAAGTTTTTATAAGTACAGAAAGAAATTAGACTTGAAATTCTGAATTCACCAGTGATAGACTAGTTAGGTGACCAAATTTTGGTAGTGTATTCAACTAAATAAAGAATAATAAGCAAATTCAATCTCTTGAGTTCTAGAACAATGGAAAAAAATATGGGTAAAATGAAGCCCAGGTTTGAATCACTCTGAGAGAACTCTGAAAGGACATTAATAGCTGCATCAGTAAAAACTAAAATGAATTATACCAAAATCAAGTGTATTGCATACACTCTCTCAGCTGGAGGGAAGAAGTGCCATAAGGGCTTAAGTATAAAGAGTGGTCAGGCCACAGTGAGAATCACGAGTCAAGAAAGGTATATTCCCTAGAATACAAGCACTGAACTCTGACATACTCCATCCTTCTGGTTTTGCTGACTAACCTCAGGGATACCACAACCCTGGCATTTCATTAACTACACCTCCATCTTTTTGATCACGTGCTTCAAAGCCTCTTTCACTTGTTTGTTCCTCAAGGTGTAGATGAAAGGATTCAACATGGGGGCAACAGACGTGCTCAGCAGAGCTATCCCTTTATTTAAAGACACTCTCTCCTTTGCAGAAGGTTTCACATACATGAAGATGCAACTGCCGTAAGAGATGGAGACCACCACCATGTGAGAAGAACAAGTGGAAAAGGCTTTCTTTCTCTGTTGAGAAGACGGGATCTTCAGAATAGTTCTGATGATGTTCGTGTAAGAGACAATCACTAGCACCAGGGTAACCAGCAGAGTCAAAATGGCTGACAAAAGCGCCATTAACTCGATTACTTTTGTGTCTGTGCAGGAGAGTTGCAATATAGGAGAAACGTCACAGAAGAAATGATCTACTGCATTGGCGGCACAGAAGTCAAGCTGGAGACCCATAATGAGTGGTGGAAAAATTATTATGAATCCGGACAACCAGGAAGCAAAGATCAGCAAGTTGCAGACCCTGGTGCTCATGATGGTGGTGTAGTGCAGGGGCCTGCAGATGGCCACATAGCGGTCGTAGGACATGGCAGCCAGGAGGAAAAATTCGGTGGCCCCCAAAAGAATAGTAAAAAACAGCTGTGCTGCACAGCCATTGTAAGAAATGGTCCTGTCTCCTGTTGCCATACTGACCAGAAATTTGGGGATGCAGACAGTTGTGAATGAGATTTCTAAAAATGAGAAATTTCGGAGGAAGAAATACATGGGCGTCTTCAGATGTGAGTCTAGTAAGGTGAGCGCAATGATGGTGAGGTTTCCGGTGACACTCAACATGTACGTGAAGAAAAGGAGAAGGAAAATGATCACCTGTAATGGTGGATCATCTGTCAGCCCAAGAAGAATAAAGGTGGTCACTGTCGTGTGGTTTCTCATAGCTGGCTATTACTTGAAAGAAAAAAAAAAGGTGAAATGAGAATCGAGGGGAGAAGGCTGTCAGAGATACACAGTATTTGGGATCCTCTATACACAGATTGCTCCCCAGGCTGAACCCCTTCTTTATTCTGCGGTAGCAGTAAGTCTGTAAAACTCGCTCATGTAAATTTCACTCAAGTTCAGTCTTTTTTTAAGTGTCATAGATTCAGGTATTTTAAAGTTATACTGTTTTGATGTCATGAAATAGTAGCAAAGGAACAAAAGTGATCTTAAATCTCTGTATTAGTAATTTTTCCCCAATCTATTTAGTTTGCATCAATTTTTTTACGCTATCTGGTCATCTACTTCTCTTTAATTAAAAGAATCGTTCATGCTTTTACTACTGAAAATACTAAGTATTGGAACTATCACCTTAGTCAAAGATCTTAAAGCAACACAACCTCAGAAGACCTTTGGAAAAGCCACTTGCTTTGGGAGAGGTGAAAGCTCATAACCTTCATTTTGCAGAGATGTATGATTGTTATTTGGGGGCAATCTTTCTCTTTTTTTCTTTCCTTTTAATTACTTTTTCTTTTCTTTTAATTACTAGTAGGCTCTGTAAATCTCTAATTCAAGTTTTATGAACTCTCAACTTCTAAAAGTTACAACAAACTCGATATCAACATCTCCCTCCTATATGTAGGGGAATCAAACATTCCCCCAAATTCTGAAAACTTTGACATTTAAATCCTCCTGATGCTTAATTCTACTCATAACACTTTCGTGATGACACGTTTTCTTTGTCTCTCATTGTCTTTGGTGTCTTTTCTCTGATATTCACCCAAGCTGATATGAAGAGTGTGAAGTCTGTATTATAATGTAGCATGCTTTCTGATATTCGCAGGGACAGATGATTATAGAAAACGAGCTATTTAAAAGATAGTTGCAGTATAGTCTTTGTTCTGAGGTGTTCCCCTTTGCCACAGTAAAGTCTTCATATCCAACCTCTTTTTTCTTTTTGGTGTACGCAATACTAGTTTAAAAGCTCTGCTAACCTTGTCATTTTTCTGTGTTCTTTCAAACCATGCCTATGTTCTCACATTGGTGACCTCAAAAGTCTATCACCAAATTTTTTAGTCTTTTCCCTAAGAAGCATATTGTTGCAGGTCAAATTGTATTTTCACTTACTACACTTCATGTCTTCCAGTTCTTCTGTTAAAATGGTGTACAGGTATTTTCAATGATTGTAAATAATTTCAATACAACAACAAAAAAATTCTCCTTCCTTGTTTTATTTCATTTTGTTCTTACACATACTTTTTTCTCTCTTCACTCTTTGGTTGACCTTTTTTTTTAATTGTCTATATTTTGGACATTTAAGTAAAGTGAATATTCAATAACATCTTTTAGACCCATTTTAGTGTCTTTTAAAGGCAAAAGCAGAGGGAAGCATCAACCAGCAAAATGAGCTCCATTGCATGCTTGAGAATAAAGCCAGAGGCAGATTAATACATGGGTAGCTTCTGTCCTAGAATTAGGTTTTGAAATCATAGCTATTAAAATCAATTGTAATAAAAATATTTTGATCAAAATAAAAACTTTTTTCAAATTTTAATGTTTTTAGCAGCAATTTTATTTCCAACTCTGCTTGGGATTGAATCCCAGAACAGAAACAACTTCTAAAGGTTGCTTGTCCAACATTTAAAAAAATTTGCTCCAACTCTTAATTTTTTTTTTTTTTGCATTCTCATGCATAAATACATTAATTCCAGTCAGACATTCGGGGTATAAACTCAAAGACTTTTATTACAATGTGAAACTTACCTAGTTTTTCCTTTCCTTTTCATCTTCTTTAAACAGTGTTCTCCAACTTGTTATATTTAAATTAAGTATAGTTTTCTGGATTATGTATAAAACTAACATGCCTTGTTTAAAAGTTTAGAAAGGAAAGGTAAAAAGCTAAGGTTTCAGACTCATTCTCTATTTGATATATTTCTGTTCTTTGTGAGAAGCCCAGTTGTTTGGCTTTTAGTCTTTGTGATTACAAATAGCAGAATAATGCCTCTTATATGCTCTGGCACTTGTCTCAAGAGAATTCACTGATTCAATAATTTAAAAATAAGTAGCCTTTACCTTGGAGACTATTGTTCAAGATGCTATAAATATATGAAAATTTTACAATTAAATCATGTTTTAAAACAAGATCAAAGAATTATGGAGACAACCACTTGTTGTCAGTCATAAGCAAATGTAAGTCAACCTATGTATCCATGACAAATACACTTTTTTTTGAAAATTAAATTAATCATCTATAGCCTACCCTCTTAATCTAATTGCCAGCATTTTGAAAACAGACTGAGTCAATGAAGGGTGAATATTGCAAATGCATTTTTAAACCTCTGAGGTCCATCTTGAGTTGCAAAGTTAGAGCTCAGATATACAGGTCATCATTCATTAAGAAAATATTAATTGGTAGGTCGTCCATGTGAGGTCAGATTTATAGAGTTTTGATTGGATGTGAAAAGAGTTCTCTGATACAACAAATGAGATCAAGTATTGGTACCTGCTCTCCAAATTTCCAGGTCCAATCTGTAGGAAAACTGGATTGTTTCTACTTAAAATTGCCTTTCCTTTTCACTTGCCATTCTGCCTTTCCTTGCTAAGGACTTAAGTTAAGAGTAGATGGTATTGCAGATACGCTTTATAGTCATTACACAACAGCCATTTAAAAACATTTTATTGAAGTATAAAATACACAGAGGACCGACATCAGCTTGTTTCTAGAGCTTGGCCACTTTGGCAGCTGTGCTCCCAGTGAGCAGCACGGGGGTGAAGAGACAGCTCTGGGTGCTCCAGATTCATCACTGCTCCCCTTCTGCTCCTTATCCCTTTCAAGGCTAACTACCGCCCTTAATGCCAACAGATCCGTTTGCCTATTTGCATAACAGAAACGGTTTTCTTAAAAGGTAGCTCTAAAGTAGCTTTAAAGGTCAGTCAGCATTGTTTCTATGTTGGAGAGTGGGGTGGGGTTGTCTACCCTATGAAGTCATTCAGGGGGTTTCAAATCTTCAAAAGTCAAATAATTTTTGCAGTTCATTCCAGCTGAGGAGAGATCTGCCTCTTGTGTCTACACTCAGCCAGCAGCTGGAAGTAATAGGACCCAGGGGAGTTTTCACGGCTAGGCTGCAAGGGGATTTTTCACAACTTTTTCATTTTCCATGGATGAGAATGATCTAGAGAAACAGCAGCTTGTGAAGATGCTGAGGCGCAGCAGCAGGAGATGCTTCCTGGCTGGGGACCCTGTGGGCTGTCAGTAGCCCATCCTGGGTCAGCCCCCCACTGCCCTCCGATTAACAATTCCCTAATAGAAATCAAACAACTTGCTTCCAAGGAGTATGCTTTCACATAACCTTTTTATCAATATGTAAATATTTTACCATTTGAACTCCAAAACTAATGGCTAATCTCTGCTAAAACTTCATTCCATTTTACTAGATAAAGTATGGTCTAGTAAACTGGGAATATAACAAAAATATTATGATTATTAGTTTAAAGTAGTTTCTAACTTGGTACAAAAGGATGGTAATAGCTTTTACATTACATGCTATATTAGATATGACTTACAAGGAGAAAGATATATTCTTAACTAAGTGGAACTGAAGACAAAAAGAGACCAATTCAGAAACAATTGAATTTCATTCATATAACCAGAAGAAAAGGATGTGAGATGAGAGAAAGATCTATTGAAAAATGTAAAGAAAATTTGCTTCTTTGATGCACAGTTTTATTCCTACAGAATGTGATAGGGTCTTCATTTTTTCAAGAAAGAGCTCAACTTCTGTATCGTATTCACAAAGGCTATCTTCACTTGTTGGTTCCGTAAGGTGTAGATGAAAGGATTCAGAAGTGGAGCAACAGAGGTATTGAGCACAGCAATTACCTTAGAAAAAGATACTCTTTGCTTGACTGATGGCTTCACATACATGAAGATGCAGCTGCCGTAGGACAGAGATATAACAATCATGTGAGAGGAACATGTTGAAAAAGCTTTTTTCCTTTGACTTGTGGAAGGAAACTTTAGAATCGTTAATGCAATATAAGTATATGATATTATTACCATGACCAATGTGACCAGAAGTGTCACTGCAGCAGAAATAAACCCCACGGTCTCTATCAGGCGCGTGTCCGAGCAGGAAATCTGCATGAGAGGTGTTGTGTCACAGTAGAAATGGTCAATAATGTTGGAGTCACAGAAATCAAGTTGCAGGCCTAAGAGGAGAGGTATGAAGATGGTGAAGAAACCAGATACCCAAGAGCAGCAGACGAGCATCGTGCAGATTTTATTGCTCATGATGGTGGTGTAGTGCAGGGGCTTACAGATGGCCACATACCGGTCATAGGACATGGCGGCCAGCAAGTAAAATTCAGATGCTCCAAGGAGGAAGACAAAAAACACTTGAGTTACACAACAGTTATAGGAAATGGCTTTGTTCCCGGTTGCCATCATAACCAGCAATTTAGGAATGCAGGCAGAAGTATAGGAAATTTCTAAGAAGGAGAAATTCCGAAGGAAAAAGTACATGGGTGTCTTGAGGTGAGGGTCCAGCAGGGTGAGTGTGATGATGGTCAGGTTGCCGGTGATGCTTAGCAAATAGGTGAGGAGCAGGAAGATGAATAATACAACCTTCACTTGTGGGTCATCAGTCAAGCCTGCCAGGACAAACACTGTCACTCTTGTATGGTTTCCCATCACTACCGTCTACTTTATCCAGGTTGACACAGAGAGCACAATGATCCCAATGGAAAAAGAGCAGTGATAAACAGTGCTGAGGGCGGTCATCAAATTGATATTTCAGACAGATAAAGTAATAAGATGAGTAACCATGTTCATTCATATTTTAAAGATGCTTACAATAGGAAAAACAATAGTTTACATTTTAAGATTAACAGAACAGGGAATTCTTTCTCTCTCTCTCTCTCTCTTTTTTTTTTTTTGCAGTTCTACAACAGGATAACCTATACAATGATATTGCTATTTTGTAACTAAATTAGAGGGCATGCAGAGATAGTTAAATCATGGATTTAACTCTTTAACTCTTGATAAAATGCAGAGTTGAGATGGCATCCATTTCCTAATTAATAAAATAAATTGGCATACTAGTATCAAAATGATGCTTGTCATTACAAGTATAGCCTGTCATTTTTGAAGTAAACATACATTCACCCACACATAAACATGGCCACGAGGAATAAGCAAGCTACTTAAACGTAACCAATTTACTCAAATGATTAAACTCAAATGCTTGATCCTGATGTTATGTCCTTTCTTTCATGGCTAATGAGATCCAATTTCACCCAATGAATAGGAGGCATAAGAAGTAATTGGTTTTTCTTTTCTTATTAGTATTTCCATCCATTTAAGCTCTGTTATCATCTCTGTTAGGTATCCCAATCAAAATCCATGCAAGGTATCCCAATTCAAAATCCACAAGGACAGTATGGTGATTTCTACTCATATAACAAGGAAATCACAACTTTGCAGATGAGTATTCTGAAAAATGGAAATGAAAGTTTGAGATAGAAGAATACAGAACTATGTCTGAATATATAAAGATGGCTAATAACATCATATGAATACAGAAATATAAACAAGAGCAAAAGTCAAGATTTCATGGAATCCTAGAGAGGTAAGAAGGGATTTTTAGATACAGGGTAGTGACAATGAGGGGCAAGAAGGTTAAAAATATGAAAAGTATGTAAAGATTAAAATTCAAAATATATAAATTAGTAATATTAATTTTAAAAAATCAAAATATATAAAGTAATAAGTAAAATTAAATTTAGGGAATAAAAGCTATAAGAAGATCATGAAATTCCTCTTCATCTACCTCTATTCTTTACATCTACCATTGCATTCTTTATCTAAAATACAGACCGAAAAGTTGAATAATTTTGATATCAGCATGTCATAAAACAGATGAAGAGTGTTTGGTAAATTTCAACTTTTATTGAATCACAGACTAGTGTTCACAAAATTGTCAAAGACATGTATTTTGCTGGCATCAGAATATTCAAATGCTCAGATAATATGTAATTAAATAAATAAACATTAATGGTAGGTAGCTGTCTCAACACCAGGCTTATATCCAATGAGATAGCTTGATCAGATTTGTACAGTTAGCAAATAAGATGTTAGAATTAAGCCTGAAAGAGTGATTTTTCCAAAGCTGTCCTCATGAAACTACAACATTCTCTACTAATAATTATAGAACACATGCTAGTGCATTTCTAAAAACAAAAGACTAATGATAGCTCTGAGGACAATTTCATTCTCAGTACCACAGCATTCCTTTTAGATTATCATAACTGTGAAACAATATTTATGTAATTTTTTCATTTATATAATTATTGCAATCGCATAATTACAGAAATGCTCATACATAAAACACTTACCTCAGATTTTACCTTGTCAACTAATATCCTTACCCAGTTTCAACAGTGACATAAGCTAAATATCACCAAAACACATCATACATTTTAAAAATTTGCACCACAGAAAGTTCGAAGTCAGACCTATAGGTGAAATAAAGCTTAGTTCTGTTAGATGCTGTGATTATAAGTTAAATTTTAAAGAGGTAAAGATTTTCACTCTTAAATTACCATTGCACCCACTTGTTTCCTTTCACTTTTTACCCCAAGTTTAATATATTATTGGTGAAAACAGAACAAAAGTGGGTTAAAATATATCTAACAGGAAATATGGTCATTAAATTTTAGTCATTGTCTTTGCACGTTCTTGAATCCTAATTACTATCTCAACATGCTTAGACACAAACATCTTTTCTTAAGAAGTTATTGTCATACATTATTTCATATAAAATTCCCTGTTCAAATTTAACTCTTTTATTATCACCTAGTGAGAGGACAGTGATATATTTCATTTCTCTCTGACTAGACTTCACTCCATCCAAAAATTGATGATTTTTTTATACCTCTAAATGACAATGTTGTAAATATTTTTAGTTATTTTTCATAGATTTTTTAAGGCAGTACATTAACTTCTCCCTTCCTACAAGTTATACTTTATGTATAGAGAATAGATTGCAGGTGTTAGCCACAATCACATATAAAAGAAATCAGTACTTAACCCATGGACTATGTAGCTTTCTGTGCCCCCAAAGAATAACATCTCAAAATTATGAAGAATTCTCAGGAGGACATGAGCTCCAACAACAGTGTCCCCAAAGGATCACCCATTTATGTTAGGCAACAGTTTTCCCAAGGCAATACATATTTTTAAAAATAAGATCATAGAACATGATTATTTCAGGCAGCTCCTATTCCTCCTGCTCTCATTATAGGGTTGTTTCATACATTTGTAATATAAATTGTCCTACATCCCATCAAACATCCTGGATTTATGTTCTTTTTAACTTACACACACGAGAATAGCATTTGTATGCAACGTTCTATTGGTTTTTGTGATTCTTGTGTGATACACCCAACTTTATAATGTTACCTGGAATAGTTTTAGTGCCTTGAGTGAAATCAGCTGTATTCTACCTAGTTCTAGTCCGGAAATCAGAAGGGTTCTACCTTCCCTCTCCCAGTAACCTAGCTGGAAACCTCTGCAGGTTTCCAGAGTCTGCAGAGGTCTGCATAACTCTAATATTTTCCTTGTTCAAAATGCCACCAAGTGGAACCATGCATATGTGTGTATTCACACATATATACTGTGTCAGATTAAAGCCCGGCCTATGAAGTTATCTGCAACCACTGCAATACGAGTTCAATGCCAGGCCAGGGAGGCGATCCACATGGCACAGCAGACCTCACCTGACCAGACCGCTGTTCCTCTCAGCAGTGTACTTGAGCAGAGCTCTACTGTCTCGCACTTCTGGCCTGCATAAACAAATCTTTAAAAAAAATTAAAATAAAGTTAATGTTGGGCCTCCCCGGTGGAGTAACAGGTTAAGCACAGCACTATGCAGCTATCCTGGACACTGCAGCACCAGTTGGATCCCCAACCAGGGTGCTGGCCACAGGGCAGAGCAGCTGTTTGAGTTTTTGAAATATGCTATACTGGTTATTTATGATATTTTATAAGAACTCACATTCAATTTAGTTGGTAGAAGAATGTGTTTTGAATCATCTCCCAGTAAAGGAGATGATTCATAGGGTGATGTTTACACAACTATCATTTGGTGTATTCTGCCAGAGAACTGAGTGGGTGAGATGCAGTCCTCTCTCGGTCACTGGGCAGAAATGTTTGATCAATAGTGGTAATGAAGTTTTACAAAATAACTTTATAAACTGAAGTTTTGTAAACTGCTGCAAGAATGACCACATTAAAAACTCTTCCTTCCCAGCGCACATCAGCTTAATAACTTCTCCATGAGGTTCTAGGAAATGTATGACTTGGATGATTTGACAACTGAAGTTTTAGTCACCCTGTGCAATTATCTAGGAAGTAGCGTGAATAACATAGTCTTTAGTTAGATAGATAGAAAATATGTCCCAGAACCAGATTGCATTTAAACACACATCCTAAAACTTGGCTAGGATTAAGATGTGTAATTATCAACTCAGAATGAGCATTGGCTCACGCGAAGCATCGGTGAAATATAGGAATGATGGATTGTCAGTGGAGGGATGGGCGGCTCTAAATGCTGGAATTTTTTAAAGTTTAGATAATAAATTCCTTATCAAAAAACTCGTTATTTCCAATTTCAGGAAACAACATTTTCCTTCACAGGGATTAAACAATCTCACATATTAAATCAATTTTAATTGAGGAAGTCAATACTTTTAAAAAATGTTCCTAAAAGGCTACATATACAAGTCTTGAAAATTATTCCCTACAATGGCTGTTAAAAAAATAGAAGAAATTATCAGGAATGAGTAACATATCGAAGCAATATTATTTTTTGAAAACTATTCTTAGTTCAGTCAGTTTGCTATAATAAAAATCACAGGCTGTATAGCTTATAAAAATTAAATTTTAGAAGCTGACGGTTCAAATCAGGCTGCCAGTGGGTGGGGTATGGGACCTCTTCCATGTTATAGATGCCCCCTCCAGTTATTTCCTCACATGGAGCAGAGGGCCAGGGATTTCCCTAATGCTTCCTTTCTAAGACCATGGATCTCATGCACTGTGGTTCCACACTCACGATCTTATCACCTCTCAAAGTCTCCACCTTCTAGCAACATGGGTGTTAGGTTCCAACAAGTGAATTTTGTAAGGACACAGATATTGACACTCTAAGAGTTTCAGTCTCACCCCTTTCAACTCTTATCATTCGAATCTGATCTTGACCAATTTGAAGCCTTGCCTCCCCATGGATTTAAGACACCCACCTCCTTGGTTTAGCAGTTAACCCCTTACAATTCCAACAAAATAGAAAGAAGTGAGTCTTGTGCAGGATGTACCGCAGTATCAGAGCGCTGATAGGGAGAATTTGTATGCAGAGTTGCAAGGATATTATCAAAGGCAAAAAACATTAGAGCGGAAACTAGAATCATTTATAACTGTTATTATTAACGCTGAGACTATTCTCATAATGGAGAACACCAGTTGTTCAAGCTTCCAAATAATAAGTTTAGACTCTTTCGTATTAAATTGCTAGCTTTCAAAGACTCCAAAGTGAAATAACTTATACTAAATCTTTAATCAACTTTTAAAAAACTTTTCCGGAATAATGTGGAATTTGAAATGAAACGTGTATGTAATTTTGAATATCATTTGTCACTGTTTTGGTGACTCAAAGTATCTCTGGTAAATGGGTATTTCAGTTGATAGAATATATGCTAATTAATCATTCTGCATTTTTTTATTAGCTGCCAGTTTTCTTGCAGATTAGAGTCAAGTTTGAGTCTAAATAGACCACTGCTGTGAACTGGCTTTTCAAAATTTGTGTATGTTTGGTTCAAAAGAAATTATCAGGCCCTCCCTGCTGGCGCAATGTGTCAGGATGCAGCACTACAAGCTAGCATTCCTGCTTCAGTGCGAGTTCGATCCTCGCCCTGGAGGTGACCGACATGGGGCAGCAGACCTCTCCTGACCCACCCGCTGCTCCCCTCAGCAGTGGACTTTGTAATCTGCCTGTTCCACTCCCCACTCTGTCTCTGGTGAATCCTCTCACTGCCCCTGCACCTCTGGGCTGTACCCCAGTTCTGTGTGCATAAATAAATAAATCTTTTTTAAAAAACGTTGTAAAAGAAATGATCAATATAATCTCTAAATTTCTATCATTCTGTAATTTGACACATGAAGCACCATATAGTAAAGACAATGTTTTGGATGGTTATGATGAATGTACTGATGATTTTCAAAATAACAAATAAATGGGCTATTGAATCAATTACCTTTAACTCTAAATAACAAAGAAACAAATTAGGTCACATGTTAACATAACTATGTATTAAGTGTTTATATAATCTTTATTGAAATTATTGATTGGTATGTAGAAACTGACAAATTCTACTTTTCAAATCCTCTTTTTCTCCATGTTTTGCAGATAGTCAGTATCTCTGCTACCTGGTAGTACTATATTATCAGTCAGTGAAGGAGTAAAGAATTCAAGAATGCAGAATTGGCACTAATTAGTTACATATTTCAGTAACAATTTCTTTATCAGTTTATTTAAGATATTGGAGCAGAATATCTATTTAAATTTTAAAATTACACATGCCTCGAATTGGCCCATGTAATCTACAAATTGATGTTGACAAGAAATGTTCAGAAAATGTAACTCTTATCTGTGATGGAGACCCATGTAGAAATGATATCAGGTTATCAACATTTTAAATTTGGTATGAAACCTGCAGAGAATATGATCTAAACATATGAAATTTTAAAAAAATAGCACCATGGATAGGATTAACATAGCTTTATTACATATCCTTAGAAATAAATATGAAATAAATGATTAGACACAACATTCAATTCCATGAAATTTTCTAAAATATTATTAAAATATTTATTAAAATATTATTAAAATATTAATATTGTATCTCTAAATAATATTAAACTTAAATCACCTCTTTGCCTCATTTAGGGATTCACTGAGTTTAATCTGTATATAAATCTATAGATATCAATATTAAGGTGAACAGATATAGGCTTTGTCTTCTTTAGAACATTTTTAAGTTCACACATTACAAATGCCTCCTCAAGTGATTATTGTGAAATTACTAAGCTTAATTTTGAATTTTATAATTAATATAATAATATGTATATCGATATGCCAACATACTATTAAGCCAGAAGGATTATTAATAACCTAAAATAAATTTCTTCAAGTGTAAACTTATTTGTTCTGTTATAAGTATAAACATTGAACACCTGATGGTAACATATATATAAGATTTTAAAAAATACTAGCACTTAGGTGGTAGTGAAGTGTGGCATATACATTTATTGCATTGAGAAAATACACTCCTGTAACTTATGTAGTATTTTAACCAATGGTACATTGATTTAAAAAGTCTTTTTAAAATATTGAGTTTAAACAATAAACTATAAGAAGTCATATTTGCAATTTTGACTCTCACAAATCCTTCTTTAAAAGTGATGTGTAGATTCAAAAAAAAAGTCTTAGAAGACACACTCGTTTTTAATAACAGTAAAATTATTATAAAACTGCAAACTATTTTATATCGGAGTATTAATGGAAAATAGGATATAAAGTAGAAAGTATACTACACTACAATAATGCACATCTGTAGTCTTTCAAGCATTTATCATTTATTTTAATAATCTTGATCGTTTCATTTTCTTGAAAAAATTGATATTTTACTGACCATATCTTTGAAGGCTGTTTTCACTTGCTTGTTCCTTAGAGTATAGATGAAAGGGTTCAAAAGAGGAGCAACAGAGGTATTTAAAACAGCCACCCCCTTGTTAAAAGTTGCTGCATCCTTCACAGAGGGGTTGATGTACATAAAGATACAGCTTCCATAAGAAAGCGAGACCACCACCATGTGGGAGGAACATGTGGAAAAGGCCTTCTTCCTTTGTTGGGCAGAGGGGAGTCTCAGAATTGTCCTGATAATGTACGTGTAGGAAATTATCACTAAAACCAAGGTGAAGATGAGTGTAACTACAGCAACGGCAAACTCAATCACTTCTATTAAATGTGTGTCTGAGCAGGCTAAATGCAACAAGACAGTATAGTCACAGCAATAATGATTGATGACGTTGGATCCACAGAAATGTAGCTGGAGCATCATTCTATGTGGCACAATGATAACTAAAAACCCAGAGAACCAGCAACAAAAGACGAGCAGAACGCAGAGTCTCCGGCTCATGATGGTGGTGTAATGGAGAGGTTTGCAAATGGCGACATAGCGGTCATAGGACATGGCCGCCAAGAGGTAAAACTCAGTTGCTCCCAGAAGGATGGCAAAAAAGTACTGAGTGAAACAACCCGCAAAGGAGATGGACTTGTCTCCTGTTCCAATATTGACAAGCATTTTGGGAACAAAGACAGAGGTGAAAGAGATCTCCAACACAGAAAAATTCCGGAGGAAGAAATACATAGGCGTCTGGAGGCGGTGGTCCAGCAGGGTCAAGATGATGATGGTCAAGTTTCCCGTGACGCTTAAGACGTAAGTCAACAGCAGAAAAAGGAAGAGCACAGCCTGCACATCGACGTCATCTGTCAATCCAAGAAGAATGAACTCTGTCGCCGACGTTTGGTTTCCCATTGTTAACTAAGATAGGGAGGAATAATAAAGACACACTTTGGAACAAAGCAAATGTTTCAGTTTTTTAAAGAAACTTAAAATCGGGCCAAAAATAGTGAGCAGTAGAATTTTGAACTCTTGACTCTCTCTACAAGTTAAATTGAAAATTATCTTTAATGACAACTCATTTTTAAATTCATAAATAACAAAGGCACTGCACTTGAAGGAGTTTTAAATTATGTTTTCTCAACTATAGCAATACATTTATTTGTCACAATTTGTTTTTACTTTCCTTCTTATCTTTCTATGATGATTTTCTTTTCCATGTTATCAAATAATGTCACAGGTTCATGGAGAATTCTAGCATCCATTTAAAGAGGGTAGGTTTCATTTAAGATTTGTCAAATTAGCATTTTAACTTCGTTTATTAGGTGATTATGTAAATATAATACAAGGTGTGAACTGTAGGAATGAAACACATGGTGTTTTTTTCTTGCTCTACTGTACTTTTTGTTTATTTCTCATTTTCAAGGATTTTGTGCATCTACTGATGCTAAAATCTAGACAGATTTTTTTCTTAATTCTAAATAAGGCATTTAGAATTTATGTCACTTACAGCTCTTGGGTCATGACAAATAATATGTGTTTGTGGAATTATAGAGATTAGTCAAGACTTGCTAAAATATCAAGTTGAAATCCTTCCACTGATTGTGTTTTCTCAGCACACAGGATTTGTCCATGAAGATACTGCAGTTCCTTAAGATGTTCATGCAAACTCCACTCTCAATACAATTTTCTTAATAATCTAATCAACAACAATATTTTTCTCCCTTTATTTTCTATTAATGTTTTTATAAAATGATCAGAACATACCCCTGATATGTATGTAGGTATGTAGACTTTGTCAGTCCAACCTTAAAGCCAATAAATTTTCCATAAAAATAAGCTCCTGTCTTTCATAAGCAGGGCAGAAAATTGTAGATTCGGTCAAATTTTTCATACAAAATTATCTTTTTGTCTTCTCTTTAGATTTATAGCTCTATTTATTGAATGTTACAGTATTCTACTGAAGTCGTAAGTTTCAATTAATTATCTATTAATTCTTCAGGATTTTCATTTAATAGTTCCCATTTTCAGACATGGAGAAATTTTACTTAGAAAAGTTTCTTCCCCCCCCCAACTCAAAATGTTATAAAGGTTATGTTATGATATACATGGGCTTATTTTCATATTATAAAAATTGTTTGTGACTAGTGATACTAAAAATTTCCAAGATATTTAATACAGACTAAAGGAAAACTTTGCCAAGTTAGAAAGATTTTTTTTTTAGAGATTTATTTATTTATTTATGCATGCAGAGCTGGGGTACAGGCCAGAGGTGCAGGGACTGTGAGAGGATTCACCAGAGACAGAGTGGGGAGCAGAACAGGCTGGCTGAAGAAGTACACTGCTGAGGGGAGCAGAGGGCGGGTCAGTAGAGGTCTGCCTCGCCCTGGAAGGTCACCTTCCGGGTTCAGGTCAAACTGGTGCTGAAGTGGTTTTAGATTCTCAGTGCTGTGCTTTAACCCGCTGCGCCGCCAGGGAGGGCCCCTAGAAAGATTCTTTTTCTTAGTAGAATTATTTCTGGAAGATTTCAGGAATCTTAACGTTGCAACTTGAGCCATTTTTCATTTTTTAAGGAATTGTCTCTTTTGTTAATACCTCCACATTGGTGAGTTTAAAAGCTGTAAGATCCTATGCACTTATGCATGGCTATTAAGCTAATATGTTATAGTAGTAAGTAATTAGAATAATATAGAATGCGAATTTAAGTATCTGTCAAAATTATACTATTTCTATTTGTAGTGAGTACAGATAAAAACTTGGCAATTTTTTTTAAAAACCATAAATGATGGATTTTGCAAAAATATGCTGTATTGAGAGAAATATTAAGATACATTTTTAACTGTGACAAAACCATTCATTATCACAAAAGATTTGAAATAAACATTGGAGATTTGATTAATTAGTAATAATGTTCTATTTCTACATAAAAGTGTGTTAGATATTTGAAGATAAAAATACTTATCTTCTACTGAGAATTCCTAGATAGCAATTAAAAGAACTGAAACTTTGAAAAAATCTAGTAATTATATTCACTAAATAACATTAATAGCTAGAATTTCCATAGGTTAATGGCAATGTTTTCGATGACATAAAAATTTGTAAATGATTCTTACATAGCAGAAGTACACTAGTGTGTAACCAGATGAGGGCCTTAAAATATGGGCAAAGCTAAAACTCAAAGATCAAATTTGGTCAAAGATCAAATTAGAGGAGAGCAAAATAATAATTTCTATATAGCAAATATTTATATCAAAATATTAATACATGGGCTAGTCAATTTATTTGGATTCAAGCTCTTTACTGCTAGGATACTGATTTTTTTTTTAAAAGGGATCTTTTGTTGTATTTTGAGAAGACACAGGAGAACTTCCCTAATATTTTGGGATAACTTTGCTATAAATTATTTTTTCAAAGTAGATTTGCATCTACAATGCATTGTATATAACTTCTTGTTCACTCTCTGTCTTCTTCAGTGGGGAACTCCACAATTCAAATTAAAATTATCTACTAGATTATAGAGTATTTTTCTAAATTACACTTAGAAATTAAAATTTTTTGATTTATGGGAAATAGAAATTGGTGTAGTAGAAAAAATAAAACGTAATTTTCATTTCTAAAACATTTTTAGCTTTAAGCTGTGTGTATTCTGCAATAGTTAAACATGAAATCTAGACAAAAACATGAAGGAAACTATACATCTCTAGTCAAATGTGCCCATCACCAACCCTCTCTTACCTCAATAGGGTGAGTTCTTAGTTCCAAGTCCTCTTTGGTGCCTATATTGGATAATATAAAGGTTTGGGACCCATTGGGAAATGGTCCCTGGGCCATCACAAGGTAAAAATCAAAGCTAGCTAGTTACATAGAGAGGAAAATAAATTCTAAACTTTTATAAATTAATTCATCCCATTAGCACTATATCTATAATCCACTTCTCCCCCACAAAATCACACATTATCCCTGTGAATGCTGAACTATAAATGTTATAGTTGCCACAATCAATAAAATTAAACATAAGCATTGCAAAATACAACTTTCCCTGATAGTTGATGGATGATGGCGGTAACATGGGAAATCATTTATTTTAGTGAGATATCGCAAAAGGATCTGAGAAAAAGCAGGTTGGCTCCCCACGATCTGGGCTGACACCCACTTTGTTCAGCACTTGTCCTTTCAATTATATTTTAAATCAGTAAATTTTACTTCTACCCATGACCTTCCATGACTTCCTGGAGTATTGGGAAGGGAAAATCCAAAATGGTCCTGAAATGACGTGTGGTGTCAGAGGGGGATAACTGAAAAACATGAGGGAGCTTATCAATGCAAAACAACAACCATGATAACACACAGCAGCCGACTCAATGGACCTCCTCAAGTCAACAAAATACACAGTGATCACATCCATGTTTTTTATCCACAGGGAAAAAGAAGGCCTCTCTGGGTGATACTGATTGAAACAGATCATTGAATAAAGAAGTGATGGAGAAAGGACATTTTCTTACAGTGAAATTCTAGTTGATGAATTAGAAGGAAATAGGGAAGTGAAAGGAGATAGTAACTTTTCAATAGATAACACAGTAGCACCTTACAGGGTGATCAAAATCAAATAACACCATTTCTGTGGTGATTGTGAAAAATTCATAATTACACGTCAATCATGACAAACCAAAAATCCAAGCTGGAGGAAAGTCTACAAAGTAATCCACAGGCATTCTTAAACAACGTTAAACTTGTAAAAGACAAGACACGGGAAGACTGGGGGAAAGAGGAGAATGTCTCCTCCTTTAATTCAGAGCCCAGAATTGGACGCACGTCAGAGGAAGCTTTCCCAGCTGTGTTCTCCAAGAAATCTACTGCTCCATCACTGAAACTTTCACGTGCATATTTTCTACCTCGAAGTTCATTTGGTGTCATCTCTTTCCTAAATCCTTTTAATTCTTTGTTTGCTTAAGTGTTTACTGTCTATCACCCTTACTAAATTCCACTAGGTAAAGGACTTTATTTAATACTGTAATACTATTATCTATCAGAACTTATGAAAGTGACTAGCACATCATTGGAATCTATAGATTACATTAATTGAATCTTGTTTGTTACCCACGTTTTATTTTTGATCATTATTTTCTAGGCTTGAGCTCTTTTCTATTTCGGTTGCTTCCCTCTTTTCTAAGGGTTCTAAAGTCCTTCAGTGAACCATCCTTTTCTCCAAAGCAGCTCAAGGCCACTTAAGTACAGACATTGACGTTATCAAATCAAAAGCAATTTGAGATAACTCCAAATACATTTTTAATTTATATCAAGTATTTCAAATATGCTGATCTGAAAGTTCCTTCAAGTATTCAGTTAAGAAAAGAGTTTGAACTGTCGCATTTCCCATGCAAAGTTACCAGCAGAGAAAAATTTAACCTGTTTTTTTTTTTAATTTAACCTCTTTTAAAAATTATTCTGATTGGTAATTTTTCTTAAGTCAGAAACATGTAACTGTAGATTCATGAATAAAATAATCACTTGTAGATTAAGGTAAACATAAGAGAAACAAAAAGAGTTGTTGGGTGTTCCACCCCGGGGGAAGATGCTTCCCCTTTTTGAGACACATTTTCTGTCCCAGCAGGTGATTGGTCCTTGAGGTTTCTTGTGCATTTCAAAGAATGTGTATTCAGGGCTCTAGGTGGAGCAGCGGGTTAAAGCTTAGTACTGCAAGCTGGCCACAGCCTCCAGTGCTCCCTGCCCTGGAGGTGACCCACAGGGCACGGCAGACCTCTCCTGACCTGCCCACTGCTCCCCTCAGTGTACTTCCTTGATCTTCCTCGTCTGCTCCCCACTCTGTCTCTGGTGAAGCCTCTCACCCCCCTGAACCTCTGGCCTGTACCTCAGTTCTGTAGGCAGAAATAAATAAATCTTAAAAAAAAAAAAAG